AAAAGCAGAGAAAATAGCTGCTTGATAATGAGGACAAGAAGACACTCCTGCTCTCTTTCAAGGCACATGCATCACTCCCCTTGAATACGGTGGTCACAGTCCTCACGGTAATCCAGTTTTTAAATCCCTAGCAAAGATAACAATGGTCAACTAAAGACAAAGTCTAGGTAAAGCACAGAAATCACTGTAGCATACAAATTACAACATGAAATCCTTCAACTCCTCCTCCTCAGGAATCGCTAAGAATTTTCCATGGTCCCTCTTGTGAGATCAAATTGTAACTCACAGTGGTGGTCTGGACAGTATTTCACTCAATACAATTTCTAGGTTGAGAACGGAGGTCAAGCTGACACGTAACTAAAAACCATTAACCACAACGGCAGCCCATTCTGTGCCAGCAGGGCCATGATCAAAGGCATGGTCAGGGCTCAAGGAGCAGCCACAATGCCGCAGGATTCTACTTGGGGCCAGTGGGCTGGGCTCCGTACTCACGAGGTTGTGGCCGAAAACCAGAACATTCTGCTCTGTAATTTGCACCTTGTTTGACTCCATCATGATTGTAACTGAATTAAGAGCAGTTGTACCATTCTTATCCCTGCAACCAAAAGGAATGACATCTCAGCCATGAATCAATCCCTCGGTGCCAAAACCACCAAATACCCATTGCTGTCAAGTCCACTCTGACTCATAGCGACCCTGTAAGTCAGAGTAGAAGTGCCCCATAGGGTTTCCAATCTATCCACCCACCAGTCCTTCCAGACCCCCTCAGCTTCACCTTCCTCCTGTCCCGAGACATCAATGTGCTGAATTTAAAGCTCGCATGATTTCCCAGGATGCATTACTACTTTCCTTGGAGTGAATTAGACAGTCTTCTTGTCCTCTCCCCAGAAAACAAATATTTTATGAAAATCACAGAGAAGAAAGTCCAAACAATGAATCCCAGAGAAGAATTCCTGATATCAGCAAGTAATTGTTGTTAGCTGCTGCAGACTGCAAGAACAATAGAACGAAACACTGCCCAGCCCTGCGTCATCCCTATGATGGGCTGCAGATAGGACCACTGTGATCCATAGGATTTTCATGGCTGATTTTAGAAAGTAGATTGATCACCAGGCGTTTCTTCCTAGTCCATGTTAGTCTGGAATCTCCGCTGTAACCTGTTCAGCATCATAGCAACATGCAAGCCTCCACTGGCAGAGGGTGGGGGCGGGGGGAGTGTGGGCGTTGGGTAGCTGTGCATGAGGTGCATTGGCTGGGAATTGAAGCCTGATCTCCCACATGGAAGGCAAGAATTCTATTACTGAATCACCAATGCCTCTAGCAAGTAATGAGGTTGAAGAGTCTTCTGGCCCCTGAGGTGGTTGGATCCTCCCAAATCGCACCGCACAGCTTAGCTCCACCAAACTCGCAGCTCTCCACGTGTCTATGTTCCTCCTC